GCTGAGTTGACAGGAAAGTAATGGAGGCCAGAATAGGCGGAGGTCAGAAGGAGGAGAGGAGGACCCATCACTGGGCACGGTGGCTCCCACCAGTAATCCCAGCACTTTGGGAGGCTGAGGTGGGTGGATCACGAGGTCAGGAGTTCAAGACCAGCCTGACCAACATGGTGAAGCCCCATCTCTACTAAAAATAGCTGAGTGTGGCGGTACACGCCTGTAATCCCAACTACTTAGGAGGCTGAGGGAGGAGAATCACTTGAATCCAAGAGGTAGAGGTTGCAGTGAGCTGAGATCACACCACTGCACTCTACCCTGGGTGACAGAGCGAGACTCCATCTCAGAAAAAAGGAGGAGGATGACCCGGAAAGACCAGGCTGGGCGCGGTGGCTCAAGCCTGTAATCCCAGCACTTTGGGAGGCCGAGGCGGGTGGAGCACGAGGTCGAGAGATCGAGACCATCCTGGTCAACATGGTGAAACCCCGTCTCTACTAAAAATACAAAAAATTAGCTGGGCGTGGTGGCACGTGCCTGTAATCCCAGCTACTCAGGAGGCTGAGGCAGGAGAATTGCCTGAACCCAGGAGGCGGAGGTTGCGGTGAGCCGAGATCGCGCCATTGCACTCCAGCCTGGGTAACAAGAGCGAAACTCCGTCTCAAAAAAAAAAAAAAAAAGAAAGCAAGACCAGTGAGTGAGGAGGGCCTATGCTAATCCCAGGTGGCCTAGAGCTGGGAATTTTTATTATTTTTTGTTTTTTAGAGAAGGAGTCTCTGCTTTGTTGTCCAGGCTAGACTTGAACTCCTGGGCTCAAGCAATCCTTTTGCCTCAGCCTCCCAAATAGCTGGGACTACAGGTGAGCAGCTGCACACCTGGCTTTAGAGTCTGGATTTTTAATTTGACTCAGGCAGCTAAAAGGAAAGAAGGAAAGAAGGCCTCAGACTAGCATGGTGGGCGGGCAGATCAAGACTAGCGGTGGCCTGGAATCCCAGCACTTTGGGAGGTCAAAGCGGGCAGTTTGCTGGAGGTCAGGAGTTCGAGATCAGCCTGGCCAATATGGTGAAACCATATCTCTACTACAAATACAAAAATTAGCCAGGTATGGTGGTGCCTGCCTGTAATCCCAGCTACTCGGGAGGCTGCGGCAGGAGAATTGTTTGAAGCCGGGAGTTACAGTGAGCCAAGATTGCATCTCTGCACTCCAGCCTGGGAGACGGAGCAACACTCTTGACTCAAAAAAATATAAAAAATAGCCGGGCGTGGTGGCTCACGCCTGTAATCCCAGCACTTTGGGAGGCCGAGGCAGGTGGATCATGAGGTCGAGAGATCGAGACCACCCTGGTCAACATGGTGAAACCCCGTCTCTACTAAAAATACAAAAAATTAGCTGGGCATGGTGACGCATGCCTGTAATCCCAGCTACTCAGGAGGCTGAGGCAGGAGAATTGCCTGAACCCAGGAGGCGGAGGTTGCGGTGAGCTGAGATGGCGCCATTGCACTCCAGCCTGGGTAACAAGAGCAAAACTCTGTCTCAAAAAAATAAATAAATAAATAAATAAACAAACAAATAAAGACTCTTGCATAATGCTGGGGGCCCAAAGAGGGGGAACTGCTGAGAATTAAAAAGAGCATCCCTGGCCTTGCTGAGAAGAGGCTTTTGTGTCTTGACTGCAGCGTTGGGCGGGATGCAGGGTGGAGAATCTCCTACAGGAGTCCTTAACCACCAGCAGTTACCACTCGCATGAACTTATGGCTGAAATCCATCCTATCTTTGCGGCCCAGAAATCCTAAGCTGAAAATTTAAGTCTGAAGGGGTCAGTCTTGGTTCGGTAATATCCCTAGAAACCTGGAAGAAGCAAACTCAAATCCTCTCTAGAAGAACACACTTTAAATCCAGGACTCAAATTAAAAAAAAAAAAAAAAATTAGCTGGGTATGGTGGCATGCACCTGTAGTCCCAACTATTTGGGAGGCTGAGGTGGGAGGATCACTTGAGCCAAGGAGGTCAGGGCTGCAGCAGGGAATGATCACGTCACTGTACTTCAGCCTGGGTCAAAGATTGAAACCCTGTCATAACAAACAAACAACAAGGCTGGGTGAGGTGGCACATGCCTGTAATCCCAGCACTCTGGGAGGCCAAGGCTGGTGGATCACCTGAAGTCAGGAGTTCAAGACCAGCCTAATACGGTGAAACCCTGTCTCTACTAAACACAAAAAAATTAGCCGGGTGTAGTGGCACATGCCTGTAACCTGAGCTACTTGGGAGGCTGAGACAGGAGAATCACTTGTACCTGGGAGGTAAAGGTTGCAGTGAGTGGAGATCGTGCCACTGCACTCCAGCCTGGGCAACAAGATCGAAGCTCCGTCTCAAAAAAACAAAAACAACAAAGATGCCTCAAAGAATGTCCATAAAGTTCTGAAGTGCAGGGATCTATCATACAAAAATCACTAAACACAAAGAAAAGTAAGCCACCACGAGCAAGTTAGTAGAAAACAGTAAACTGCAGAATCAGCCGCACAGTTTGAGTTCAGGTCGGACTCAGGAGCCTGGAACTTTGTTCTGGGAAAGGCTGCTGGTGCTCCCAGCCCACTTGCTAAAGCCCAGGCTGGGGCCTTGCCCTTGGCCCTGACTGTGTGTCACTAGCTAAGGAAGCTGATAAGCTCAGGGACAAACAAGCTCGCAGGTTAAAATAAACAGATATTTTAAGAGTACGAGCACATCAAAGGAGACAAACTGTCCTACACAAACCAGAATGGAACAAGACAGATCAGGACTCTAAGCACAGCGAAGATCCTCATGGAGATAAGAGATGATTAACGAGGAACAAGTAGTGACATAGACTCCAGTGGAAACACTGATACGAAGTTGGTAACAGACTCAGAAGAGTGGGGGGAAAAAAAAGAATAGTTGAGCTGGGCACGGTGGCTCACACCTGTAATCCCAGCACTTTGGGAGGCTGAGGTGAGTGGGTCACCTGAGGTCAGGAGTTCAAGACCAGCCTGCCCAACATCATGAGACCCCATCTCTACTAAAAATGCAAAACATTAGCCGGGCATGGTGGTGGGTACCTGTAATCCCAGCTACTCAGGAGGCTGGGGCGGGAGAATCCCTTGAACCTGGGAGGTGGAGGTTGCAGTAAGCAGAGATTGTACCATTCACTACAGCCTGGGCAACAGAGCGAGACTCTGTCTCAAAACAAACAAACAAACAAAAACAAAACAAAATGAAAAACAAGAATAGCTGTAAAATGAATGATGATCTAAATCAAGTGAAGACATTTTCCTAAAAGGTACTAAAAAATAATGAGATGGAAAATACCAAAGAACATTTAAGAGATATGGAAAATATCAGTGTCAGTATCTGCCTAATGTGAGTTCCAGAAAGAGAAAATGGATGTAAGAAAGAGACCTATATTTAAAAATTGTGTGTATGTTTCCTGTCGGGAACCAAAAAAAAAAAAAAGAAAAAAAAAAACCCCTTAAGTGTGAAGTTTTAAAGATTAATCTAGAGACCAGCCTGGGCAATGTAGTGAGATCTTGTATTAAAAAAAAAAAAAATTAAAAATTAGCTGGGCATGGTGGAGTGCATCATATAGTTCTAACTATTTTGGAGGCTCAGGTGGGAGAATCACTTGAGCCTGGGAGGCTGAGGCTGCAGTGAGCCAGGCACTCCAGCTTGGGTAGCAGAGCAAGACCCTATCTCAAATAATAATAATAATAATAATGATTAATGATAAAACAACTTCAATGCAAAAGTCTTGCGGAACATCAAACAATAGGGAAAAACCTAAGCTTTGACATATTGTAATAAAATTTAGGAAAATCAAAGACCACAAAAAAAAAAAATTCAAAAAGCTTACAGAAAGAAGGAATATAGTTCACAGAAGAATCAGAACCGGATTGGCATTAAGTTTTCCTAACAAAAAAATTGTAGACAAAAAGCAATGAAATTATATATATAATTTATATATGTAATTATATATATATAATTTTTTTTTTGAGACAGAGTTTCACTCTTGTCACCCAGGCTGGAGTACAGTGGTGCGATCTCCACTCACTGCAACCTCTGCCTCCTGGGTTCAAGCGATTCTCTAGCCTCAGCTGCCTGAGTAGCTCGGATGAGAGGCCCCTGACACCATGCCCCGCTAATTTTTGTATTTGTAGTAGAGATGGGTTTCCAATATGTTGGCCAGGTTGCTCTCAAACTCCTGACCTTAGGTGATCTGCCTGCCTCGGCCTCCCAAAGAACTGGGATTACAAGCGTGAGCCACCGTGCGCAGCCATGAAATTACATTTCTAAGTGATGATGAAAAAGAACCTAGAAAATTACATCCCACTAAACTATTATTTAAATGTGAAGAAGCAAAGATGATACTTTCAGACATACAAGGTTTTGACAAGCTTAAAACCGGCACAAAGGCCTCTTTGAAAACTCTATTGGAATAAGTACTTTTATACTTAATACAAGTACATTGTAGTTAATATACTGAGAACTTACTAAACACAGGAAAAGATGTTCAACACCATTAGTTACTACGAAAAGTCAAATCCAAAGAGCAAGATACCTTTATACCCCCAGGAGATGATAGCCATAATTAAAAAAAATGAAAACTAACAAACGCTGATGAGAACGTAGAGGAACAGGAACTGTTACACCTTGGTGGTGGGAATGTGAAATGGTTCCCCTACTGTGGAAGAGAGTTTGGTAGTTCCTCAAAGGAAACATAGTTACCATAAAATCCAGCAATTCCACTGCCAGGTCTATACCCAAGAGGATTGAAAATATATATCCACACAAAAACTTGTGTACAAAGGTGCATTATTCATAATAGCCAAAAAGTGAAAACAGCCCAAGTGTCTATCAACTGATGAATGGGTAAACTGTGACATATTCATACAATGAGATATTTGGGGTATAGATATCTGGATATTAAATTGAATACTAGACAGGGAAAAAATCACAAAGAAAAGTGAGGGGCATCATACTGGTAAAAGAACGTGGTATCAGCGCTCGCTGTGGCAGCACGTATACTAAAACTGGAACAAAACAGAGATTAGCATGGCCCTGTGCAAGGATGACATGCAAATTCATGAAGCATTTCATATTTTTTAAAGAAGAGCATTATATCAAAAAGATACGCCGGGCACGGTGGCTCAAGCCTGTAATCCCAGCACTTTGGGAGGCCGAGGCGGGTGGATCACGAGGTCAAGAGATCGAGACCATCCTGGTCAACATGGTGAAACCCCGTCTCTACTAAAAATACAAAAAATTAGCTGGGTATGGTGGCATGTGCCTGTAATCCCAGCTACTCAGGAGGCTGAGGCAGGAGAATTGCCTGAACCCAGGAGCCGGAGGTTGCGGTGAGCCGAGATCGCGCCATTGCACTCCAGCCTGGGTAACAAGAGCGAAACTCCGTCTCAAAAAAAAAAAAACAAAAAAAAACCAAAAAATACAAAAAATTAGCTGGGCATGGTAGCGTGTGCCTGTAATCCCAGCTACTCAGGAGGCTGAGGCAGGAGAATTGCCTGAACCCAGGGGGCGGAGGTTGCGGTGAGCCGAGATCGCACCATTGCACTCCAGCCTGGGTAACAAGAGTGAAACTCCGTCTCAAAAAAAAAAAAAAAAAAGATATAACCATAATGAACATATAGGCATCCAAAACATTCATGGTCATTTGAAAAGTTATTAAGAAGGAAGAATAAGAATGATTACGAGTGAAACGATGCATCTAAACAAAGCACAGCATGAAAATGGAAACAAACATACAGGAGATTACCATAAATTAAAAATTGGCTGGGTGCAGTGGCTCACGTCTGTAATTCCAGCACTTTGGGAGGTCAAGGTGGGCAGATCCCCTGAAGTCAGGAGTTCGAGACCAGCCTGACCAACATGGTGAAACCCATCTCTACTAAAAATTAGCCGAGTGTGGTGGCACATGCCTCAGTAATCCCAGCTACTTGGGAGGCTGGGGCAGGAGAATCGCTTGAACACGGGAGGTGGAGGTTGCAGTGAGCAGAGATCACGCCACTACACTCCAGCCTGGACAACAAGAGTGAAACTCTGCCTCAAAAAAAAAAAAAAAAAAAAAAAAAAAAAAGAATTTCTGTCAGTGTTGATCATATATAGGTATTACGGGAAAAGCACTTGATCTAATTCAATTCATGTATATAATCAAACTTCCCAGAAAATAAGAAATAGAACTTCCTTAACTTCATAAAAACTGTATACCAAAAATCTAGAATAATACCATACTTAATGGAGAAGACTTAGATAAATAAGGGAAAAAGACTCTAATGTTCCCATTAAAATAAGGAACAAAGATACCACTTTCCCCATTACTGTTTAGCATAACATTAAAGGACCAATCTAATGCTCTAAGACAAGATGTAGAAAGTGAATTGAAAGAGGAGATAAAACTGTCGTTATTTGTAGATTATATGATCACTTACATTGAAAAGCTAATAAAATGATGAGTTATTAGAATAACAGTTTAGCAAAATTGCTGGATATAAAAATCAACTTTAAAGGATCAATAACATTCCTTAATACCAGTAACAAACCAGAAAACAAAGAACAAGATACAATTCGTGGAAGCAGCAGCCATAAAGTATCTAGAAATCAACATATAAACAAGACCTTCATAGAGAAGTTTTAAAAGCTTTATTGGAAGACACACACAAAAAAAGATCTGTAACTCAAAGTTTCTATTATTCTTCTTAAACCACTCTGCAGGCCTCAAAGAATATGAATTTAATGCAAATTCAATCTGAATCAATATTTCAACTGGATTTTAAATGGAACTGGAAAATTTTATTCTGAAATGTATATAGAATAAAAATCCATAATTAGTTGGGCCAACATAGAATAACAGAGATGGGACTCTCCTTACTAGATATTAAGGGATATTATAAGTCTATGGTAATAGAAAACAGTAAGATATTGGTGTGGAAATAAAAGGACAATGGAACAGAACAGAGCTCAAAAATAGATCCTTCCATATATGAGAACTGGACATATGATAAAAATGGTACCACAAATTAATGGGTAAAGTATTGATTTGCTGGATGGTGTTGGGAAAACTGCTTCATTAAATATAGAAAAATATAGCTGGATCTGTACATTACAAAATATACAAAGGCGGATGGCAGATGGATTGTAAATGCAAATGCGAAGGCAAAACTACCAAGCTCATAGGAGAAAATGCTGGAGGGTATCTTTGTGGTGTAGGGCTAGGGAAACATTTCATCTGTAAACTACCCAAAAAAACATAAGACAAAAAGTAGATTAATTAAAAAGTAAGGATTTCTGTTCAATAAAGGATGCCACAGACAAAGTTAAAAGACAGGAAACAGAAGTAACTGACACATCTAAAACTGCTAAGAGATTAATATTCACAAGAAACCAAAATGCAATTGCACAATGAGCAAAGATCAACATGTAACTGACAGAAGGGAAGACTATCACCTTATTCTTGGTAAAAAGGAATAGAAGATAACCTAGTTATCCACTGTGAGGGGAACAGGTATGTATAACGTGGCGGCTGCACACCAGGGAACCTGTGCAGCAGTAAGAAGCAACATGCTAAATGCACACATAGCAACATGGATACATATAAGTGAGAAAAGCAGAAAACAGTAAAAATGAATACCACAGTACCATTTGTATGAATTAAAATTGTATACACACAACACAATACTACTTACTTCAAAGAACGCCTGCATAACAGAGAGGGTATGCACCAAACAATTAAGAGTGGTGCCTTTGGGACAGAGCAGAGTGAGGACTAAGGAAGAGGAGAAACTGAATGGATAATGAAGGGAATGAGTTCTCGAACTGACTGATGATGACAATCAAGACATATGATTGATGCATTACTTTGTATTTCAGTACAAAGTAAAAAGAAATTATTCACAGCACATACTCACATACAGTTTGAAACTACAGCAGGTGTTTGGCTACAAAAAGAGAGGCTGCAGCTGTGAGGGACTACAGCTGGATCTTGGTGACATGGAATCACTCTATGACACTTCATCTAAACCAAGTACCTGTAAGACCACTCAGATGAACCAGAAGATTCCCTTGACCTTTTAAGCCGGGGGTTTCTGATACCTGTGATGAAAGAATTTTAACTGTTATCCATCTTTGCCTGTACTTTAGGCAATAACTATCCCAGATTTTAAACAACACTACGGCTTCACTTCTATACCTCTGGGAAATCAGGGGAGCAAGAGTAAGCACACATTTAAGAAGTAAAAAGACAGAGAAGAGACAGAATAATAGTAGCCACCATGTATAAGCTCTTATTATGTGCTAGGCACTGTGCTAGGTGCTTTCCATACCTTGTCTCTAATTTAAACAATATACCTGCCTGGGGTCTCATCCCTGTGCAGATGAGGAAACGGGCTTGAAAGGGCAAGTGTCTTGTCTAGAGTAATGCAGCTTCCTAGTGGAGTCTCATGAACCCGTCTTTCTGCTGTCAACCTGTTCTTCACACCATGCCACCTTACTAGAAAAGATGATGGGGAAATGAAGAAGGAAGAAACACAGAGATACAGAAGAGGCTAATACACCGAGGCAGAAAAAAACAAACCACACCTAGGCACATATGGAAGCACAATCGCTTCTGAGCTGAGGACACCCATGACACGTCAGAGTATGCCTGCCTGAGAGGAGACTGTCATTGTCCTTTGAAAAAGGACACATTCTTTTAAACACACACACACACACACACACACACGGTCTTGTTCTGTGTCCAGGATGGAGTACAGCGACATGATCGTAGATAACGGCAACCTCAACCTCCTGGGTTCAAGTGATCCTCCCACAGCAAAACAAGTCTTTATTTTAAATAAAGCAGTTTAATGTGTTTTCCCTCCAAGCCAAATCTGATGTTAGGATATACTAAGGTCTGAGTGAAAGAAAGAAATTCTTCTTTCAGACTGGACGTGGTGGCTCACGCCTGTAATCCAAACACTTTGGAGGCCAAGGTGGGCGGATCGCCTGAGGTTGGGAGTTCAAGACCAGCCTGACCAACACAGTGAAACCCCATCTTAAAAAAAAAAAAAAAAAAAAAAAAAAAAAAAGAAAAAGAAATTCCTTTCCCTTTCTTCCAGTGATGAGACAGGGAGAGGCCCCTTCCCATTTCTTTCTCCCTCTCTTCAACCAAAAACTCATCTATCTGTTTGTTACACAAAACAATTTACTCATGTTATCCACATTCACTGAAAATAAACAAGGAAAAGGAAAAATAAGAAAAAGTACTGATACCATCACTCTGCATTTTGGGGTGCATGTTCTTTTGTATATTTTCTAATGCATTTATGTACATACACATATATTTACATTTACAATCACCCGGGATGGAGTGCAGTGGCATGATCTCGGCTCACTGCAACCTCTGCCTCCCGGGTTCAAGCAATTCTTGTGTCTTAGCCTCCCGAATAGCTGGCATGCACCACCACACCCAGCTATTCTTATATTTTCCATAGAGATGGGGGTTTGCCATGATGGCCAGGCTGGTTGTGAACTCCTGCCCTCAGGTGACCCACCTGCCTTGGCCAACTTTTAAAATTTAATGTTAGCTGGAATTACATGAAAAATGTGTCCCATCCCACTAAATAATCTTGGTAGAAATATGAGTTTTTAAAAACCATGTTTGACAATGACACTTTTATATGGTAACGAATATTTATAAGATGGTGAAAACATGGTAAGGTATAGTTGAATTACGTTACCACAGGGTTTTTTGGTTTTGTCAAAAAGCATCTTGAGGGGTACTGCTGACAAGAACACACTTTTGCAAAACTGTCCTGATGTGTTAGCTAAAGGCACATACAGTCCCCCTCATCTCCTAATGCATGAGGTCCGTGCCTTTTTGAATTTCTTAGTTCTTTTCATCTTCATTACAACACACTGAAAACAGTTAAAAGGAAAAAATAAAAAGCACTCACATCACTCTATATTTTGCAGTGTATGTCCTTTTTGATATTTTTTTCTACACCCCCATTTCAGCGATAACCTTTTTGATATTTTCTATGCAGATCACACATACACTTATATATATAACTGTTCACTTTCTCTGACAAGTTGCTTTCTCTTCATCCTTCTCC